ATTTGAACTCACCACGCTTGAGCAAGTCGGTCATGGGCCTAGCCAAAAGGCCGAAGTTACGAACGAATCGCCGGTAATAGCCGGCTAACCCCAAGAATCCCTTCACCCCACGGACATTCTTGGGTGTGGGCCAAGCTAAAACTACCTCTACCTTAGTCGGGTCAGCCGCCACCCCTGCGGCAGAGATCACATGTCCTAAGTACTCTAGTTGTTGCTGCCCGAAAGCACATTTCTTCCTGTTAGCGAACAACCGCTCCTTCCTTAAAACCTCCAAAACTGCAGCGAGGTGCTCTTGATGCTCCTCCCAAGTGCGGCTATAAACTAGGATATCGTCAAAGAATACCAGTACAAAACGGTGCAAGTAGTGCCCTTCATGCGTTCGGAATGCAGTTTTTTCCACGTCAAATTCCCTGACTCAAATTTGATGATATCCGGCCCTAAGGTCCAATTTCGAAAATATGGCAGCCCCATGTAATTTGTCCAAGAGTTCGTCTATGACGGGAATTGGGAATTTGTCCGGCACCGTGAGTCGGTTGAGAGCGCGATAGTCCATGCAAAAGCGCCAACTTCCATCCTTTTTCTTTACCAAAAGGACTGGACTGGAGTAGGGGCTACTACTCGGCCGAATGACACCAGAAGCTAACATTTCTGCCACGAGCTTCTCTACCTCATTTTTCTGCACTTGGGGGTATCTATACAACCGAATATTCGGCGGCTCCGCCCCTGGTTTGAGAACGATCTGATGATCCCGTGCTCGGTTAGGCGGAAAACCCTCAGATGCCTCGAACATAGTTGCAAACCGAACCAAAACCCCCTGTAAAGCCTCGGGTTCCCTGGCGTGGTCCTTATCTTCCACCCCCCCTTCGAGTGCATAAATCTCCAGCAATGTCCCTGCCATATTCCCGTGAAATGTCCAAGAAAGGGCCTTTAAACTCACCGGCTCCAGCTTCAGTGTGGGGTCCCCCTTCAAACACTTCCACCCTGCGTCCGACTGAAACCTCATAGTCAACTTCTGCCAATCAGCCCAGAATATCCTAGAAGGGGGTTGGGCTTCTCACTCAAGCCCATTCCCTTTCCAAAATCCTCATATCTCCACCCCCGGCCCAGTTTTCCCTTCCTAAGTCTCTCTACAGCCTCGTTACTATCTTCAATTTGTTGGGCCAAGTCCATTACCTCTTGGAGGTTAATGGGCCGGTGCAACTTAGCCTCAGCTCTCACATCCTCTCGTAACCCATTAAGGAAAGCACCACGGAAAATAGGTTCCGAAATACCTCTCAGGGAAGCTACCAGAGCTTCGAAACGATCATGGTACTCCATCACAGAGCCGTCCTGCCGCAACGCCATCAGCCTCTCCGTCAAATCACCGTCCTTCGCGCGGCTAAAGCGGTGGAGAATGGCTGTCTTTAAATCACGCCAGCCAGCGAAAGGTACCTGAGAATCCAACCATTGAAACCAGCCCAGGGCCCTCCCCTCCATGCAAACTGAAGCCGCCATTACTTTCTCCTCCTCCTCGACTCCATTGATGACGAAGTAACGTTCTGTGCGGAACACCCATCCATACAGGTCGTCCCCTTGGAAAATTGGTAGTTCCAGTCATCTCCCCCGGTGGTCAATCCTGCCACGGCCCCGATCTGGCGACTCGTTCTGCATCCTCCGCTCCCGATTGCGTCCCTGTTCCCGACGCGGTGGCATCGGCAGCTGGGCCTCAAATTGGCGACCCAGCAGTGTTTCCAAACGGAGGAGGGACCCCTGAACGTCCCCGATCTGGATTCTCAAGGCCTCCACGTCCTCCCGCAGCTGAGGTACGTGATCCACCATAGCTCCCATCACAACCATTGTCTCCCTGATCGACTCGACGATGCCCTCCAAACCGGTAATGCGCTCCATGGTACCTGCCGCCTGCACGCCGTGAGCCATGGATCACCGGCTCTGATACCAAATGTTAGGATCCTAGCCTCTACTGATACGGTTAGCTAGCAATTAGTAGACGAGAATTGGCTAGAAGTCCTTTTTATTGAATTCAAACTATTTCTCCAGCAACAAGGAGCTTCAATCGTAGCTCTTGAACTTCAGAAATGGAAGAAATTACAGGAAGAATTACAAAAAGGAAATGCATGAAAGAAGTAAGATAGAGAGGGATTTTTGAGGAATCCCACAACCTCCCAGTATCAATCCAGCACCAAATTCTTCATGTCCTCACCCTCCTCGATGCTCCCCTTAAAACACTCATCCTCTAACCAATTCGCACGCCTCCCCGTAACGGCCTCCTAGCTGGCTACGTCCCCATCCCTGGGCTGATCCATCTCCACTGGGCCTGGCCCATCCTGAACCATCTCATTTGGGCCTGGGCCCATCCCTTTACCACTCTTGGCCCTTCTAATGTAGACTTTCCGAACCAGAGGTCTAACAGGAAGCAAGCCATGAGAGTGGAGATGGAAGCTCTGAAAAAAAAAAACACAACATGGGGAATTGGTGGAATTACCACGTGGAAAGAAACTAGTTTGTTGCAAATGGGTTTTCTCAGTAAAATATAAAGCGGATGGATCCCTTGAGAGATATAAGCAAGGTTAGTAGCTAAAGGATACACCCAAACTTATGGGGTGGATTATCAAGAAACATTTGCACCGGTGGCGAAAATGAATACATTGAGATTGTTATTGTCAATAGCGGCTAATTTAGACTGGAGTTTGCAACAATATGATGTGAAAAATGCTTTCTTGCATGGTGACCTTGAGCAGGAGATCTACATGGAAATTCCACCGGGATTTGGAGTGAATGTTGGGAGAAACAAAGTATGCAAACTGAGAAAAGCGTTGTATGGACTCAAACAATCACCTAGAGCTTAGTTTGGGAGATTTGCAAAGGTGATGTTGAAGATGAAGTATCAGCAGAGTCAAGGGGATCATACATTATTTATCAAACATTCGACTTCAGGGGGAGTTACAGTGTTGCTAGTTTATGTGGATGACATAATAGTAACTGGGAATGATCATGAAGAAAAGGAAGCTCTTCGTAGGTGCTTAGCCAAGGAATTTGAGATAAAAGACCTCGGAAAACTTAAGTACTTTTTGGGAATAGAGGTGGCACAGTCCAAAGAAGGGATCCTCATTTCACAACAAAAATACATTCTAGACTTGTTGAAGGAAACATGCAGATGTGGTTGTAGACCATCAGACACTCCCATAGAGCCTAACCACAAATTAGGAGAAGCTTCAAACTCGGAATCCGTGGGCAAAGGCATGTTTCAAAGACTAGTTGGAAGATTAATCTATCTTTCACACACGACCAGACATAGCATATGCCGTAAGTGTGGTGAGTCAGTTTATGCACAATTCGAAGGAAATGCACCTCCAAGCAGTGTATCGAATATTGCAATACTTGAAGGCTACTCCAGGAAAGGGAATTCTCTTTAAAAAAGGGAATAGTTTGACATTAGAAGCTTATACGGATGCAGATTATGTTGGCTCAGTCACTGACAGGAGATCGGCCTCTGGATATTGCACCTTCTTTGGCGGGAACTTAGTGACTTGGAAGAGCAAGAAGTAACCAGTTCTGGCTAGATCCAATGCGGAGGTAGAGTTTCGATCAATGGCACAAGGCATCTGTGAATTGCTATGGCTCAAGATAATCTTGGAAGACTTGAGAATCAAATGGGAAACGCGTATGAAACTTTATTGTGACAACAAATCTGCTATCAACATTGCACATAACCCAGTGCAATATGATCGAACGAAACACATGGAGGTTGATAGTCATTTCATAAAGGAGAAACTTGAAAGTGGCTTGATTTGTACGCCTTACGTATCTTTTTAGATCGACAGTTGGCTGATATCCTTACTAAGGGATTGGCTAATCTAGTGTTTCAGAGAATTGTGAGCAAGCTGGGAATGGAGAACATCTACACCCCAGCTTGAGGGGGAGTGTTGGAATATTTGCTTATTTTGAATTTAAGGAAAAACGTGTACAACTGTACAATTGTAGATGGGAGATTTTGGGTAGTTTCCTAATTGATATAGGAATGCCTTGTAGGGGTTTGACTAGGAAGATTCTAGAATATTTTATGTTTAATTTTCTGATTTTGTGTACAGGGATAAATATACCCTAACATGTAACGTTTTTATTGAATCAATAGAATTCCTCTTTTGTCTTCAAATTCCAATTTTGTTACAGTTAAAAGTTCTCACAAAAAGTCATATCTACCTTTTTTGCTACAGTTAAAAGCTCTCACATAAAGTCACATCTCAGCTCGAATTGAAAACTCAAATCGGCAAACTTAAGGAGGCCTTAGCTTTTAAGCTCCCTCTCTCTCTCTCTCTTTTCTTTCTTTTTTTTTTAAAAAAAAAGAAACAAATTGTATGGTTCCTTCCCAGCTTATATATATAACTTTCAAACTTCCGATGGTTTTTATTTTTCCACCAGAGAATTGTTTAACACTTTACATTGCTGAAAACAAATAGAGGTAGCTCATGACCCTCACCCCACAAATTACGCAGCCATCAGCTTTTAATACACTTGAACAAAAAGGGTGATCTCCCAAGTATATTTCCCCACCTATGCCAAGTGAAAACCCTCCGAACGAGAAAATATTTTTCTCCCCTTTCAAGTTTCAATCAAGTGGATCCAATAAAAGTACACACCACAAAGAACTAGCATAGCATGTCCATGTATGATTTCAAGAAATAATCTTAAATGTTTTAACTCTCACCAGTTAGTTGTGTGCAAAAGTGAAATCCATATAGCCGACCCCAATTAGTTGGGATTAAGGCTTGTTGTTGTTGTTGTTTTAACTCTCACCAGTATAGGATAGCAACTCATCCAGTCATCCTTATTGGTTAAATTTGGCCCTTCGCACAATAAATATCTCAAATTTTATTTCTGTCTTAAGAGTCCCATAGATTGAGAGTCTAAAAATAAGCATATTGCAGACATGTTTCAATCAACTAGCCCAACAGTTTCATAAAAAAAAGAAAAAAAACAGTAACGAGTTAGAATCAGATTACCGTCGAGTGATGGGCAAGGCGCGAGGGTAATAAAGAACTGGCTTCCATTAGTATTGGGGCCAGCATTAGCCATGGATAAAATCCCGGCTCCAGTATGCTTCAGCTCCGGTTTTATCTCATCGTCAAACTTTGAACTGCAAAAATGAATTGACAAAACCAAGTCTTAAAAGAACACCATTAAAGAAAACTAAAAATAAATTCTGATATCTAGTTTTCAACTTTATCAGATTGGTATTTCCACGTTTCGATAACCCAGTATACCAAAAGCGCATATCTGATTATCTTCTGGTACTCTTAAGCCATTTTCTAGGGAACAAATTTTACGAATTCCTCCGAAATTATATCACTTGTGTTAACATGCCCCGAGCTTTGAAACGTATTTCTGCCTCCTAACGTACAATATGTCTCCAAATTATTTTGCACGTCACTATTTCTGGAACTAATAATTGAGAAAGAACTATAAGAAGAGCCACAGCAATGAAAGACATTACCCATAGATGGATTCTCCACCCCTTCCTGTTCCTGTAGGATCCCCTCCTTGCACTATAAAATCCTAAATCCAACGAAACCAATAAAAACACCATATAGATTTACTCAATAACAATATCTCGGCTAAAGCAGTAGAGAAAGAGAAAGAGAAACCTTGATGATTCGGTGGAATTTCACATTGTTGTAGTAGCCTCTGCGAGAGAGCTCAATGAAGTTTCTAGAAGTTCTCGGTGCGTGTTTGTAATACAGCTATATGTAAAATAAAATAAAAAAATAATAACAAAAAAAGAGATTAAAAATGTTATGTATTTTCTTTCGTTTTTTTTTTCTCGGGAACCAAACAGGGAAAGGAAAAGAAAAAAGTTTCAACTTTGTTTAGAGAAGGAAACTACCTCAACGGTGAAAGCACCCATGGAAGTCTCCAGAGTCACCTCCGGTGCCCCTCCTTCTGCACTCGCCCACATTTTCCTCGCAGAGAAGAGGAAGAATTTGGGTCTGTTTGTTTGGCAAGAAAGAAACTGAACAGATTTTCTTTCCTTTTCCCTTCCGTTCTTTCTTTTTCAGCGTCCAAAAAATTGATTGGGCTTCTGAAGGGCTTCTTCAAAGTTTGGGCCAAATCAATTCGGCCTTGAGGATACACTTGAAGCCCAAAAACATTTCTCTCAGCATCTCATTCTCCGGGAAAAATGATAAACGTCGAATTCGAATAATATCCTCTGACGCGCAGTACAGCTTTCTTACGCAGTAGCTTCGTCACATGAGACCGATCAGGCTTTCCGAACGCCCGGTCGGAATCTCGGCCTCGTTGGAGATCTTCGGGCGCGTGATAACACGCGCCGTCGTCATTGGCAACGGCGTCGCCGGCGCCGAAAATCAATGCATCGGTCTTGTTCGCGCTCTCGGCCTCTCTGGTCGCCAATCCCTTTACGTGAGTCTTTCCATTTTAATTTTCTTTTCTTTTCTTTCACTTTCCGAGAATTCTAAACCCTAGAAAATGAACACATACATATATATGTGCGTGTATATGTATTTGCAGCGTGTAAGAAGGCCGAGAGGAGGAATCAACGAGTGGCTTCACTGGCTTCCGGTTTCTCTGCAAAAGAAATTGGAGCTCTTCTTCTCTCGAATTCAAATCCCAGTCAAACAGAAAAAAGTTTTTCCCATTTCAGCTGACGAAAATGGTACTAATTTCATCGCCATTTTCACACAAATTTTTCAGGGTTTATGCTTGAATTTTGACGAATTAATGATTGGATTGGTTATAGAGCAGGCCTATCGGATATTCTGGAAGCTGATGCGAAGCGCATTGCAAACATGGCTCGCGAAACTTTTGATAAGTAAGTTTAATCATTGTTTTGAATTCGAAGAATTTCTTTCTTTGGTGGAGTAATTTCATCTTCAAAGGCTGAGAATTTTGTTTTCTTTAGAGAGGGTCCATTGCTGGTGATTGCATCTGGGAGGGACACAATCTCTGTTTCGAGCTCCATAAAGCGTTTAGCTCCAGAAAACGTATTTGTTGTGCAGGTTAAACTTCAAGTTTTTCTCTTGGATTATATTGTTTTAGTTTGTTCGTTCGCCTTTTTGAACTACATAGATGGTATTATTATCAGCTGACTGGGACCAATATCTTTGTTTCCTTTCCAAGTTTCAGTTCTGTACTCTTTGGCCCTCTGTTAATATGCCAAAATAGGCGCTTTCTGAGAATGTTAACAATTTTTGTGCACTGTTTTCTTTATTAAAAGAACAATGCTACATGGCACCAGTAGTGTTGAGCACCCAGAACTTGTTGGATGGGGTCTGTAGGTGGGACCCACATTCTATTAGTTATGGTGTTTAACGCCATCACTCCCAAGCAGACATGGATGCTTTTCTTTTCGTTTTTCTGTCTCTGTTTAATCGATACTTTCGTTTTTCAATTGCTAATATAGTCATATGATCGATTGCTTTATCCATTAGCGACTGATTTTTTATTCTTCTTTCAAACATTTTTTCCCACTTTGCTTAAAGTGATTATGATGTTATTGGCATAATGCAATGCAAGTACTAGGATATCTAATACCAATTGTTTTCTGTTTGATAAGATTTTTCAGATTCAACATCCCAGGTCAGAATTGAATAGGTTTGATTTGGTTATAACTCCTCGCCATGATTATTACCCGTTGACACCTGATGGACAGAAGCAAATTCCTTGGTTTTTGCGGAGGTGGATTACTCCTTGTGAACCCCCCGGTAGAAATGTGGTCAGTACATAGTTCATAGATGCTTTGAATAAATGAACTACTCATTAGTTATTAGACTACTTTAGTTTCTGCTACTCGTGTAAATCTATTTGCAACTGTATATGAACCTTATTTGCTTGTGGATTATGAGTTTCAGGTTCTCACCATAGGGGCTCTTCATCAAGCTGATTCTGTGGCACTCAGGCGTGCTGCTTTTGCCTGGCATGATGAGTTGGCACCACTTCCCAAACCTTTGCTTGTGGTTAATATCGGAGGCCCTTCAAGTAATGAGTTCATATCTACTCATATTATGATTTATTTCCTAGGGGTGAATCTTATTGGAATTCTCTTTTGTTCTTGTTAAACATTTTGAGATTTACTATTAGCATGTTTGATAAGAATTTACCAATCAGAAATATAAATAATAAACTAATGGCGAATGGAACATATCCTAGATTGTTTTGAACTTACTTCGCTACACCAACATCATTAATTATATGCTCTAGAGTACTTTCATTGGAATTTGCATACTAAATTTCTGTTTATCTTCAGTTTGTAATAGCAGTTTCATCTTGCATCTTTCAAATTGCATAATGATCCAATCCATATCTAACATCCATTGTTTTCTAATTAGGCAACTGTCAGTATGGCGTGGATCTTGCTAAGCAGTTAGCAACTATGCTACAAAAGGTTATTTGGAGCTGTGGAAGTGTGAGAATATCATTCTCCAGACGAACTCCCAAGAAGGTCGGAATGCTTTCTATGGTCCTTTAAAAGTCTTGTTACTACTTACTTGGGACTCATGTTTCTTGGACGTGGTTGTCAACAGGTGTCCCAAATTTTAGTGAGAGAATTAAGTATAGATCCAAAAGTGTTCATTTGGGATGGTGAAGGTACTCATTGCCATAGTCTTAGAGATGATTCATGCATACTGGAATTCCTATTCTTTGTGGATGCGTAGATAAAAACTCATTAACAAAGAGGGAAATGTGATGCATCTTCTATACTACTGCTCAGGTCTAAATCCACACTTGGGGCATCTAGCTTGGGCCGATGCCTTTGTCATCACAGCTGATTCAGTCAGTATGCTGAGCGAGGCTTGCAGTACAGGGTGCGTCACAAATATGATAATTTAGGTCGACTTATTGACATTTTTTTTGGGCATAAATTATGCCTTTCTGTGGGATTTATGTTTTTTCATACATTTGTGATTTGGCTCAGCAAGCCTGTTTATGTGATTGGTGCTGAACGGTGTACCTGGAAGTTCGCAGACTTCCAGAAGTCTTTGCAGGAACGAGGAGTGGCTCGACCATTAACCGGTAAAGAGGATGTAAGTCGGCTATATCTTATTTTATCTATACGTGCTTATCAATGAGAAATGAGGAGGGATCTAAGCAGTTATCTTTAGGAAGTCTGCATTTATCGAACTGTCTTTCTTCATTTATTATTGTCTCTAGGCAAGTAATCATCTGGTCGTAGGAGGCTTTGCATTCTACTATGGACATACATGAACCTTTCAGAAGATTGGTTATAATTCAGCGCTAGTTTGTGTAGATAGGAAGCTTTTCTCTAGAACCTCCTCACTGCTCCACAAATAACTAACATCTTTTTTTTTTTTCTTCATTTAATTTGGGGGGCGATGGGATTCAAGCTCCTCACTTTATGGTGGAGTCACATGTGGAATTACTGCTAGGCAATGCTTGCAACCACAGCTAACATCTGTTTTGACCTATGGTTGCTATTGCTCAATCTTTCATTTTTGAACACACTTTACCACAATTCTTTTACACGGATTTTGTTGGCAGATGTCCGAGAGATGGAGCTATCTTCCACTTAATGACACCGCAGAAGCCGCTCTTCGTGTAAATTTGGCACTTGCTGAGCGTGGATGGTGTATACGTACATAGTGGGCAAACAAAGTTTTGTTGATACGCTTATAAAGTGCTAGGAGAAGTAGTTCACCCAGTTTTGTCCAATTTTTCTTAAGATGTCATCTTTTCTCTTCCCTTATTTCCCCTCTTCGGGTTTTCCGTAGATCGTCTTTTGACACCATTTTAGGCATTTGTTATTTTGTTTGAGAGTAAAACACGAGCAGTGCGGCCATTGCATTTACTTGATAGATAAGTTTCCCCCCTTTTGGATCACAAACAAAGAGAGAAAATTGTTCAATCGCTTGAGACATTATTCGTTAATACACATTGGAGCTGTAAGGCTCGAATTAGGACTTCTTTATGGAATAACAAACTGTCTTATCTTAGAAACGAAAAATTGAAAGAAATGAAGAAGAAGACTGAATCGAAGAAACGACTCCAAATTAACGGCACCTATTCACAACCTTTAAGTGTATTGTTTAATCTTTTTTTTTTTTTTCTAATTTGGTTGCAAAAATTTACGTGCTTTGTCATCATAACAACATTATCCATACTATTTGCATTGTTGGATTAGGGAGGGTATCTACGTGGTTTAGTTGACTGATTAAGAGAACAAAGTTCTAGGCCATAACTCATATCATGGTGTCCTTTTTAAATTAAATAAATTCATGACCTTTTCTAATACACTCCATTATCCTTTACAGCAAGCACAAAACAACACCATATAACCCCTCCTCACAACCGTTTGATCTGCTACGCAAAGCATGATTTAATAACTTCCTATCCGTCTGATCATTGACAAAAACTTTGAGCAGGTGGTATAATTAGGTTGACTTAATCCATCTGCTTTGTCCCCACATCTCTCTCTCTCTCTCTCAACAGACACCAATCAAAATAGGAATATGTACGGCAACAACTCACATTAACTGATTAACATTATTCAAATATCCTTCTTTAACCAAAACCCATCTCAGGTCTTCCATATAAGGCATATATTCATACATTTTATCTCATCCCAAGCATTTTCTGAGTTCTCAAGCCAAAACGCCAAGAGTTCTCGTATACAACCTTTCAAGCCTTCAAAACCATCTTTCTTCCTTTCTTAGACGAAAATGCCGGCCACCATTGACGTCGCTGAGCCCAGCAGCTCCGCGAAAGGAAAAGCAGTCATCGTGGCAGCGCCCCATCCAGCCAAGTGGAAGAAGGGAACCGCGATAATTGACTTTGTCTTGAGGCTCGGGGCCATTGCCTCTGCTCTTGCAGCTGCAGCCACCATGGGGACCAGTGATGAGAGTCTTCCTTTCTTCACTCAGTTCTTCCAGTTTGAAGCTAGCTATGATGACATGCCAACCTTTCAGTATGTTCATATATATAAATATATATATATATATATATACATAGCATCTTTTTAATAACAAGAAGCTACATAATTCACAAGATGATATGAACTATACATTAATTGTCAGACATATTATGATATTGTATAGTTTTACGTGATAGTTTCTGAAATGTGATCAAATGTGCAGGTTTTTCCTCATTGGAATGGCATTTGTCAGTGGCTATCTAGTCCTATCCCTTCCTTTCTCCATAGTAGCCATTGTTCGTCCACACGCAGTTGGGATAAGGCTCTTCCTCATCATCATGGACACTGTAATGATATTCATATCGCATACATATTTATCCAATATCCAATCATTTTTCCATTTAAACTAATTAAATAAATTTTGTTTACATGGAAAAGAAAAAAATTCACATTTGGATTTATGCCTTGGATGATGGAGTTTCAGATGCTATACAAATAGACTAGTTCAAGGTCAACAAAACGCGACATAAATCCGAACTACAAAGAAGTTGTGAAATAAATCATAAAATAAAAATTGTGTCATGCAATCTAATTTTCTCTTACAGAAAAATCTCTCTCTTAATTTCTCTCACGAAATTTTCTCAAATACCAAACTTTTAGAAAGTTTAATTTATGACTTAAGTTTTGATTTTCAAGTATACTTATTAGTTTAAACTCAAAACTCCAAATAAACAACTAGTGAAAAGTTTTAACTTTAAAAGAGGTAAAAGAGATAAAAAAAATTAAAAAAGAAAAAGAGAGATTTTTTTTTTTAAAGAAGTTCAGTTGCTTAGTAGAAATGTTTGGTAAAATTCATGTATCTCTAGAAAAAGAAAGAGAAAAAAAATCTTGACTCCGCCATTGCAGGTGGCGCTTACTCTGGCAACTTCTGCTGGTGCCGCGGCCGCCGCCATAGTGTACCTAGCTCACAACGGAAACTCCAGCTCCAATTGGCTGGCCATTTGCAACCAGTTTACAGATTTCTGCCAGAAAGTCAGCGGAGCCGTCGTGGCGGCCTTTGTGTGCGTGGTCTGCATTGTGTTCTTGATTCTGATTTCTGCTGTGGCTCTCCGAAGGCATTAAGAAGAATTTATGAGGATGAGATTTAGAAGCTTCATTTCACAAATATTGTGTCAGACACACAAGAATATATATGGTTTTTATATTTTTCTCGTTTGGTGTATTTTGTTACAAGTCTTTGTTACGTGTGAAAGTGCCTAAAAAGTGGACGTACATCTATCTTTTGTTGTTTGGAAAAATGTTTATAGTGGGGTTTATTGTATTTCTGTGCTTTTAAATTTAAAGTGCAATATTTGATTTGCCATTTGGGTTTAGTCGATGTTGTTCTTTATTGAGAATTTTAGTGTGAAGTTGTAATCTCTCACATTTTCTTTTTTATAATAATTTCTTTGAAATTTCACCATAATATTTTAAACCAAGTCCAATGTTCAATATCTGTTTTGTAGCTGGAATATAGTACATTCGAAGAAAATATTGTAATTACAAAGAAAATAGGACAATAGGACAATTGTAAGTCCAAGTCCGTGAATTGATAGGAATATAAGAGAGGAAGAAAATAGGACAATTTGTCCAAAAATAGGAAATAGGAAAGAAGGACGACAAGTATCTATAGTAAGAAGAGAGGATGAGAAGATGACCTTTAAAAAATTTTGTACTTTCTTGCTAGCTTAGTTTGTTAATTTTTCGATTTTTTGGTTTTATAATTTCACATGTTTCTTATTAACATTTTTTTCCCTAATTTGCCCTTTATTGACTGTGTTTACTATAGTTAGTTCTTCTAATCCTAATTCTATAATTTCATAAATATTGTAATTACAAAGTTTGCATGGTTGAAAACTAAAACTTCATGTACGTGCTTTTTCCCTCTCTAATGTTGATAATAAAAAAAATGGTGATAAATAAATTTGTGTCTAAATTTTATTAGATTTTCTAGGGAAAAGGAATGTAAAGACCATAAACACGTGCCTTAGGCACGTGTACATACTACTAGTTTGATAGAGATTAATTAACATATTAAAAGGCTACGTTTACGTGCAAAAGCATGTTGGTTATCCCAAAACAACATGTTTGTTTTACAATTTAGAAAAGTGGAAAGCTTTTCATTTTAAAAAAAAAAAAAAAAAAGGAAAATGTTATGTTGTTTGTCGTTTATGAAACAAACGACATATCGTTGTCCGTTAAAAAGTTGGTGGGTTTTACGTCATGCTCTTTATTGTTTTTCAGAAGTTTATGTTGCTCACGTTGAAACGTTGAAAAAGAAAAGCAACAAAGGAAAACAATCCTTTTGTCGTATAAAAATTTGGTGAAACAAGACGACACGTAAGTCCTAAACCTAACATGGGGTATTCTTACCTTGTATATTAGATTAGATTAGATGTTTTATCAAATTAAATGAATAGGGTGCCACTTTATAAACGACGCGTTTGCAGTATCATAAGTTAAAACCTCAAAAGACACGTCGTTCAAGTGTAGGTTTTACTCCAGTTTTAAGCATATAAACGACATGTCGTTTATGTTTTCAAAATACTTATATCATTCTTTGTTTAGAAGTGCTTCACAATGGGCCCAAAAGCCCAAGTCATTATCAAATGGGCCCAGTGGCCCGTAAGCAGAAAGCTTTCAGACGACGGTAAAATTTCAAGCAGCCGCATTGTTCTTCCTTCGCACGCGGCACGCATCAGCAGCAGAATCATAATCCTTTCTCTCTCGCTGGCTAAACCTCATCAACTTTCCCGGGAAAGTGAAAAGGAAAATTCACAAGGAAAATCAGAATTCGAAATTAGGGTTTCGTTTCAGTTCGTTCCCTTGCGCAGTTCGAAATGTCTCAGACGGGGAAATTAATGCCCAATCTCGATCAACATAGCACCAAAATGCTCAATCTCACCGTTCTCCAGCGAATCGATCCCTTCATCGAAGAGATTCTGATCACCGCTGCGCATGTCACTTTCTACGAGTTCAATATCGAGAGCAATCAATGGGTAGGTTTCTCAATCTTGTTTCAGCTCTCCGTTTGGTTGCCGAGAAAGTTTGTGAAAACAGCAAGTGGAAGAAAATTAGGAGGTTACTGGTCTTAGATTCCTAGATTCTGACGATTATTTGGCTTATTGAGAATGAATATTCTTACTTTTTTTTAGTTTTATGATTTCATTGTTGGAAATTTGCTCATAAACCAAGAATATGTTTGAATCTCTGTTAAATTTATCTTAATTTTCATTTTTTTCACAAACAATTTTGGTCGGTTTGCAGAGTCGCAAGGACGTTGAAGGATCTCTGTTTGTCGTCAAGAGGTATAAGCTTCTAGGGTGACTTTATGCAATTTTGTAGTTAGTCTAGTAGTACTCCTTTGATTTTCCGTGGAAAATTCCTAGGTTTTTCTTTTCCTTGAATTTCTTGTGTCTTTATTTTAACTGGCTTGCCTAATTTAGATTTTGCCTCTTGTTGTTTAAGGAATACACAACCGCGGTTTCAGTTCATTGTCATGAATCGGCGTAACACAGGTTTGGATTCAAAAGTCATAACCTAGTTGTATTTCACGTTAAAGAATGATTCTTCATTGTTGATATTAAGTAGTATTATCTGGTATTATTTACTATAGAAGCGTTGAAGTATTTGGTAATCTGTTTAGGTCCCATGTGAATATTGGTAAATTGGAAATTAAACGAGAGACTCGAGGATTAGGATTAATGTACATTGTACATGAGTTGAGGGTTAAGGTTTTAGTTTAAGTTGGTTATAACACGGCTATTAAGGCAATAAAGCCTATATGGTTGAGGGCACCTCACCAATTCAAGTCCTGTGAGGTTCTTAGGAGAAATCCCTAGTTCTGGGAGCTTTGGGTAGCATTTGTTTAAATAGGTTTTGAAGCATTATTTCATTTGCCTTATTATCAATGCCAATATTGAACAGATAACCTGGTGGAGAATCTATTGGGAGATTTTGAATATGAAGTTCAAGTTCCTTACCTTCTATATCGAAATGCAGCCCAAGAAGTTAATGGCATTTGGTTTTACAATCCACGTGAATGTGAGGAAGTTGCAAATCTCTTTACGAGGTTTTTTATCCGTCTCTTATTGTATTCAACCTTTTTTTATGTTTTTTTTGGAATTCTGATCATAAAATTTTAGGTAAAACTGTTAGGGATGGAACAATGGGGATAACTGTGTAGAATGTCTTTCATACTTGCATGTGTAGGACTTCATGTTTGGCTAAGTTGATCACAAGAAATAAGGGTTTGCTGTTCGTAACACTCAAAAAATCTTAAAAGGGGAAACTTGTGAAGTTTTTATGACTAGATGATATTCCCATTGAAGCATTGAGATTTGCTTAGCAATGGGAGTGACTAATTGAAGTTGTTGTTGAGGGTTTTAGGGAGAGATCTTGGGCTCAAAAAAAAAATGAAGTTGACTAGTTAATAATTCATGAGGCTAGTACCAATGTTTAAAAAATCTAAATCAGGAACTGAGGCGTTTTACCTAATCGAGGGGAGGAAGCCTTAAGGTGATTTACGCCTCAATTAAAAAAGGAAGAAAATCATAGAACCTTTTAAAAGAGTCACAAGGATATTGATAAACCACCAACTAGGTATAGCCTAGGACTTTGAGAATAGAAATTGTATTTGACTTGGTTGTATCTATTCTATGTTTTGAAAAGGACCATAAATGTGGGCAAAAGCAATAGTGGCAATATGGATATACCAGAATACTTGAAGTAGCATGCTTCTTTGTGAATGTTTATCATAATAAACTTAAACGCGATGATACCAGCCATACAAATAAGTACAGAATTAAAGCAAAATGATGTTATTTTAAGAAAACTATTCTTAGATGGCATGTTGGGTGGATAATGAAAATCAATTATACATGCATTAGAGTATTAAACACTAGGCTTGGTCATGACTTGTATTGAATAACTTCTTCAACATTTTGTATGTTGCTTCATCCAAAAGTTGAAAAATGGATGTGGTTAGCTATAGCTTCTTTTGGTTGCGTTTAGAATCTAAACAGTTAAGCAATTGATTTACAGGATACTTAGTGCATACGCGAAGGTTCCTTCAAAGCCAAAAGTATCTTCAAGCAAAAGGTATTATTTGCTTCTTTCTTTTTTTATGCCCCTTCCTCCATGGGTCATGATTTGCTATCCTTTTGTTCTATAGCTTTTTCATAGAGTTCAATGCTTTTACCTCACTGAAGCCTAATATGTCGTGGATGGAAGGATACATTTAGTGAGTCATGAAGTATTATGGTTAATATAATCAACTGTTGTTGATAAAATCTTAAGTTTCTATGTGATAGTTGTAATTATATGCAATTTATTTGATCTCACTCCAGTGAGTTTGAGGAGCTTGAAGCAGTCCCAACCATGTCAGTCATGGAAGGGCCACTGGAGCCGCCATCAACTGCTTTTACTCCCACCGATGCCCCTGAAGATCACCCTGCGTTTGTTAATTTTTTCAGTGTATGTGGTCTAATTTTATACCAGCTTTCCGTTTGAAAGATGAAATTTATTAGTGTCTCCAACAATATCCTTGATGCACGTGTTAATGAAAGATTGTGAACTGGTCTCTCATTTTTCATTGTTTCCTGCCATATCTTAATTTTACGTTGTTTATCCCTGAGCGGAGCAATTTTTAAAACTGCTGCAGGCAGCAATGAATATCGGAGGTGCACCTTTGAACGCAGCAAATTCAAGGCAAACCTATCATACTTCTGCACCCGTCCCTTCATCTTCCTTTGCACCCAGTGTTGTACCATCTCCTGCACAAACTCCACAAGCTCCAGCGCTTCCTCTTTCGACTTCATCAACACCAATACCCCTGCATGGTACTTCTGATCCAAACAACAGCAACAGCGGCGTTCGTGTAGCTACTACTAATCTTGTGAAGCCCTCGTCTTTCTTTGCACCGCCTTCCTCAGCTTCATTGATGATACCGCCTATTTCTTCATCCCTGCCGACCGTTACTGGTCTGCAAGCTCCCCCAAGTCTGCAACGTCCGTATGGTACTCCATTGCTTCAGCCCTTTCCACCACCCGCTCCACCACCATCTCTAACTCCTAATTCATCACCTACTCCAGTCAACAATGGACCTCTTATTACTCGAGACAAAGTTCGGGATGCGCTCCTTCTGCTTGTTCAGGTCTCTCTTTCAATCTCTTGCTCTCTCTCCTCATTTTCTAAACATTGGTCTAGCTTCCAACATTTTAGGCATTTGAAGATATGGTGCCTCAGTTTCTCAATTAATTACTGATTCATCTGATTCTGTTGTCTTAGGATGATCAATTCATTGATATGTTCTATCAAGTCTTAACGAAGGCGCATCAATCATGAGTCTTGAGAAAGGATAGGTGGGTTTCAAATCTGAAGATTGTTATTTGAGTAGAAAAAGTGGTGTAAAAGTAGTTGTCTGTGTTGCTCTGTTAGCTTTTATACTCAGACATAATGACGTTGAAACATCGGGAACTTTAATAGCATTAAGGCTTCTCTCAATTTCCTTGAAAGGGTGGAAGATGGTGTTCAATTGGTTTATGGATTTTATCTTGATATCAGAATCCCCCTTCAATAACGTTTGTAACAGTATTTTTTTTCCCTTCTCTCTCTCCAAAGAATCAGGTGTAAGATAGTCTTTTGATTGTTTTGGGGTCTATTTCTTGTGTCCATATTTGTTTTCAAGATATTTGGGATTAGTCTTTTTGACTAGTGGAAGCTTAACCGGTGGAGTTTCACTGGTTTTAACCTCTTATTCGATGGTTTCCTTCATATAGTTTTCACTGGTTTTAACCTCTTATTCAATGGTTGCCTACATATAGTCTTTAGAAGTACTGCAATATGTGGGAGAATTATTCTGCAACTATTTTGAGTTTGTGTTAATACTTGTTGTCGATGTCAAAATTTGGCACAAACACCATGCGACAACGCATGGTGATTATACTTCCCTGCTCGGCCTCCCTTGGTCGGATCTTAAGCCCTGTTCTAGTCGGATCCCCAACATTGTTTGGGATGGATCCTTAGCACTGTTTGGGTTCCAGTTCCATCTATCCTAGTTGGATCTCTAGCACTGTTTGAGTCGACTCCCTAACACTGTTCGGGTTGCGTTCCTTGCATTGTTTGGGTTGGCTCCCTAACATATTCTGACTTGCAATGAAAGGGTAGATGGCCTCGGAGTGAAAGGGACACTGGTGTGGTGTGTGTTAAGGGCACGCTAACTTTAAAAGTTAGTTTACTAATTGTGAGCAACTAATGGATAAACAAAGTTTAGGTAGAGAGTTTGTTTGTATCTTGGTGAGCTAATGGGTTTGATATTTATGAGTATTTTTGGATTTGGGTAGTGCCCCGATCCGACCTGAAACCTAGAGGCAACCCAGGTGTTGTTCTAGTCATATGCACGTGTCACATTCTCATAGGTGGGGGGAGCCACTCAGTGGGGAGAGGATGCCATGTAGCAGTCGATTAGTTGATTGGCGGATTTTCATATACTGGCGAATATTGTATTAAACGGTTGCTGAATTTTCAAATAAATATGGTATATATAAGTAAATACGATATTTATTGATAAATATGGTATATATAAGTAAATACAATATTTATTGATAAATATGGTATTTACCGCTCGTCGGTCGTGGGCAGTGCAGTCACTGGTCACCAGGGCTAGTCACCAGTCGCCAACGCCGGTTATGGTGGACCTAAGTAGAGGGGGAAGGAGAGATGGTTAAGAGGTTTTTTGGGTTTGTAATATTGTTGGGAGTATAAGATAAAAAAGTTATGCTATAAACTACATGTTTTAAAAAATTATGCTATAATTTATTAAACATTGTACCAAACGTGCTATTTCCTTTCTTTTTCTTTTTTTTTTTAGAGGAAATTGTTGAACTTACCCATAGAGTGCATGACTTTAGAATTTTACCATCCACTCTTGATTAATACTCTTTTCATTGATATTGTTATTTAATTAAAAGAATATTAATAAAAAGTAAGGGGTAAAAATTTAAACTCATGCACTCTAAAAGTTATTTGTCTCACGAGTAGTTATATTTGCACCCCTAAAATTTATGGATACCCCTAATAATTAATACTTCTACAATAAAGATATGAAAAATCCATTCTTTTATAGATATTAAAATTTTTATAATACCTAATTTAACCTTCGTATACTCCACTTAATTTTAATCTTGACTTATCAAAAAATATAAAATTTTCAACTATTAATGTTATATTTCCTTTTCAAGATTATTGCAATTCCTCATATTAGTTTTGTCCTTTTTACTTTTATCTATCAAAGTTGATTTTGACACCTTTTTAATGATAGTTTTTTTTTTTTAAAGAAAACTCAAAAAAGGAAAAAAGAGAATTCACGCCATTCGATTAATGTCATTTTTTTATGACTTCCTTTAAGAAAAAAACAAAGGAAACAACTAGAGATGTAAGTTTGGGCTACATGAGCCCGAGCTTGACGACCAAAAAGGAAATTTCAATCCGGCCAGGCTTAGAATTTTATAAAGTATTTTCAAAAAAATCTTTAAAAATATGATGTTCTAAAGAAGAGAGGGCCGGCCCAGTCCGACTCTAAGCCCAAAAAATTTAGAGTCAGACCTGGACCAACAATAACAGATCTCGTACTGATCTGTTTAGCCTGAACCAAACTTGCAACTTTAGAAGCAACCAAATGTGATTTAAAAAAAAACAGAGAAAATCCATCCAATTTGTGACAATGGCCGATAAAAGACAACCAAAAAAATATAGAGACCTACACATAATAACCAATATATATAATATACATAATATATATAACATTTTCATCGGTGGTTACCACTAAATATAGAAATATGATGACGTAGTATGATAAAAATCTAATTTTATTAATTCTCATTAATTTTCTTAGTAAACTATCTAATCTATTACAACCGTTAGATCAATAACTTATGGCTACAATAACAATACCCATTGATAAATAAATATTCAAGTAATCACTAAAACCACACCCATATATATATATATATATTTCTATTATGTTTCATCAAATTTTTGTTTCAATTGGAACTTATATTGAATTTTTTAAAGAATTTGATGGAGATAATTTTAGGATTTATGAAGATGAAATTAGTTTTAACTAGAAATGTGGAGTTTGTTTTTTATTTATTTATTTATTTGACAAATACTTTCCAATTATAGTTAATGTGACTGTATACTCTTTTATTTGTTTTAAAATATTATTTTCCTTTATAGTTAATGTGATGGTATGTTAATAGATTCTAATGTAATTTTAATGTAAGGTAAAATTAGAATAAACATAATTTATAAATTGGTAAGAGTATTAATGAATTTGATGGGTGTAAATATAATTACGGATAAATTTTATTTTTACCCTCCGAATTATAGTCATTTTGTCACTTTATCTTTTAAATTTTAAAAAGTGGTTTGCACACCCTTAAATTTGAAAATGTTAGCAAGCATACCCCTTTTGTCACATTTGACAGTTAAATGCTGATGTGGCACTAAATTAGAGACTACAAACTTAATTAAGTTTAAAATTTTAATTATTAGAGAAATTTTAATTAAAACAGAAATTTCCTTTAACAAAAAAAAAAAAAAAAACGAGATTTTAAAATACTCAATGAGATATCAACACGACAAAGAAATACTCAGATTCAACCTAAACATCAGATATCAACAAGCACAAATCCTGTACTCAAATTCAAACTTATATTCAAAAAATAAGAACAATTTCCTTCCCTGCAGCTGCAATTACAAATCAATCTCTAATGAATCTGATCCAAAAAAATAAAAATAAAAAGCTCTAATAAAAAAAGAAAGACAAAACCAGATCAAAACAAGAAATCAAATCCAAATCAACATACTTACAATCGAAAGCAAACCCAAATCAAAATTCTCTCTCGCTCTCTCTTTATTATCTTCTCTCCTAATGTAAACACAGATCCGAAATATCTTTTGGAATGCAAACCCAAACCTAATCCAGATGAAGAATATATATATATATATATATATATATATATTGGAAATAGACTCATTAAGAGGCTCAATGAGCCGAAAGCAAATCCAACCCTATAAGGGGAGAAATACATAATGGAAGTGAGTGTGGTAAACAATATTAGCGAAACAATGCATGCCCAACTCTACCACGCCCAGATTCGGCGAGCCAAACTCCGTCATGCCCGAATCTAGTGAGCCTAACTCCGTTTCGCCAAGATCCGGCGAGCCAACTCCGCCACGCCTGACTCCAACGAGCCCAACTTCACCACGCACAGATCCGGGCGAGCCATGCTCTGCAGTTCCCAGATCCGGCGAGCATAAACGCACCCAGTTCTGGCGCGATTCACAGCCCATTTTTCCGCTTGGTGTTAATGTCGTCCCAGCCCTGAGCTCTAGTTTTCTTTGCAGGGTTAGGCGGTCGTGTGGGTGGGGGGATGGGTCACCGGTGTAGCGACGGTGTAATGGAAATTGTGGTGACGACGGAAGGGGAAGAGAAAGGGTAAAAAAAAATGTACTTTTTTTGTTTTTTGTTTAAGGAAATTCTTTTTTAATTAAAATTTCTCTAATAATAAAAATTATAAACTTAATTAAGTTTATAGTCACTAATTTAGTGCCACATCATGATTTAATAGATAAATGTGACGGAAGGGTTATTTTTACCAACATTTTAAAATTCAAAAGGTGTGCATACCACTTTTTAATATTTAAAGAGTAAAGTGACAGAGTGATTATATTTTGAGGAGTAAGAATATTTTTTTAAGAGAGAAAGAGAAAAATAGACCAAGTAAAGAGAGTAGTAAAAATTAATAGGTTAAGATTTCAATTTTGTTAGTAAATAGGCAATTAAGGTGTAAATCTAGATTTACACCTTCTTAAGATTCTAAAAATGCCCTTAAAACATAATCAGATCCTATTTCCAATAGAAAAACATACCATCAACTCTCTTTCTCTCCTAAACTAAAATTCTGAAATGCAATAATTACCAATATTCTTCCAAAAAATAATACAAAATTCTCTCTCCTCCTCATCTCTCTCCTCACAACATCTCTCTCCCTCCCTTCTCGCTCTCTCTCTTCAGAACTACAGCACTCGCCTTTCGGAGACTGACAACGGGGAAGATTATAGCCATACTCAGACGCAAGCGCTACCTGTTAAAAAACATCCTTAGATATAAAGCATCTCTCAAAATTCAGTAAACATTCATACTAAATCACTAAGAATCAACAGATTAATAAGCAGAATAGTACTTGAATCCATAACAATTAATTACTCTATAGAGATGTGCGGTTTGTCTTCTAGATCAACACGTTCCCTTAGAGAATCCTTTGACTTTCTCTTTACTCTCTCTAATGATGAGATGTCAGAAAAAAATAGAATGTTATGTGTGATTTGGGGACTATAACCATTATATATAAATAACTTCCTTGTTATCTTTTAGTATTTATATTTTAACCCATCATAAAAAATAGAAATTACCTTTAAGTCTCTACACATTAAAAAGCTCATGCCCTATTAGAGACATCAAAGGTCAAATTACCCAAACCTTAGTAGACCACTTTAAATGGGCTTAACCTTATATGACAGCGTACAACACATAATTATTCACTGTTGCATGATTTTTATGCTCGCAAGTGCATATGTCGCAATCAAGTAATAAAGTGTGAATAAGAACGTCGATCCCACAAAGATTGAATCATCAGTTGTAAAATGTAGAAATCAACAAGT